CCACAACCTTAAATTCCTATGATTTATTCCTTCCTGGGAATTTTATTGCCATAACAAAGGCTGGACTCTCCACTTCCACTTCACAAAAGAAAAGCCGTGTTGACTCTTAAGAAGCACAAAAAGTGGCAGGAGAGAGCTGCTGAGATGGTTCAAAAATGCATGTCTGGCCCTAGAATTTGGAAATAGTTATGGAGAGAATGATGCATAATTGTGGAGGTTAAAATTTTTTTTTGCATCAGCCTTACCCAAGCCTATGCATCAGAGCAATGGGCACAAGCATGTATGCCCCAAATGAAGCCAGAGAGGAATTAAGCCAGTCCGTGGGAAGAGGCAGAGGAAGGAAGGCAGGGCTGGATCAGTGAGGGAGGATGGATGTACCTGGTGGTTATCCATGGAAGACATCCCCTCCAGCCTCAGAGGAAGTGCTAATGCCAAGTCAAAAGCACTGTTTAGGAGTGCTGGCCGGGCACAGAGGCTCTGCCTGCTATCCCAGTACTTTGGGAGGCCGAGGAGGGGGGATGACCTGTGGTCGGGAGCTGGAGACCAGCCTGGCCAACATTGTGAAACCCTGTCTCTACTAAAAACATAAAAATTAGCCAGGTATGGTGACGGGGGCCTGTAATCCCAGTTACTCAGGAGGCTGAGATAAGAGAATCACTTGAATCCGGGAGGCGGAGGTTACAGTGAGCCGAGATCGCACCACTGCACTCCTGCCTGGGCAACAGAGCGAGACTCCGTCTAAAAAAAAAATAAAAAGAAGAAAAAAAGAAGGTACGTCTTTGGCGGGAACTAAGAATGTTACTCAGTTTTAGTGGTTCCCTAACTGCTACCTTGGGCCATTCTACTGAGGATCAGGGAAACAAACTCGTGCATTATGAACGGTCCTTTCCCTTGGAATGCCAAGGACGAAACCGCCAAATTTTTATTTGCATTTCAAAAGGAAATGATTATTATCTTAATAGGTGCAGTGTTTCCTTATTTTCAAACAAGGTTCTTAATGATGAATTAAAATAGATTTTATGGTAATTTCTTATTACAAAGCAATACATGCACAGAAAAAGTTGGAAAGTGCAAATAAAAATATGGACTATATTTTAACATCTATATTTTAATATGTTTACTATAGTCTATTTCTACAACTCAAAAAAATTACAGTTAACATCTCAGCATATCACCTTTCTTTTTCTACATACATGTGAATGTAATTTTTATTCAAATATCACAAAATACTATATCACTGTTTTTGTTTGGTTTTTTCATTTTACATATTCTGAATTTCTTTTCTACATTAATAAACATCCTTCAGAACACTTTTTCTGGCTGAAGAGTTTTCTATTTTGTAACTCTGCCACAATTAACTTAATCTGTCTTTTTTTGTTGGGAATTTAGGATATTTCTAGTTTTTGTTAATGGTACAACAGAAATTGCAATAAATAAAATATAACTAGTGTTTTCTACATCCCTGTAATTATTTTTGTGGTACTTTTGACAATAGAATTTATACGTCAAGAGTTAAAGGAAAACATTTAGAAGATCATAATATTTATATCTAACTTGACCTATGTATATAAAAACATTTTAAACAATGGAGTTATTCTTCTTGTAGGCCAACATCATTTTAGTAGACATCTTTGTTTTGTTGTGTTTTTGTATTTTTCTTAACTTTTCTTAAAATAACCTAACTCTTGTCTCATGATGCCAGCAACTTCTGTGTGCCTTGCAGAGCCAAATAAAATTCTTTCAAAGGCAATGTCCTAGTCTGTACTGTCTCAATAATTCCCTGTGATTTCTACAAATGCAGAAGGCTGACTCTTTCCACAATATCTTCCGCTGCTCCACCTCTGACCACACAACCTCCCCTATTTCTTCCACTTCCCCACTTCCAGTAAGTAAATGTCCCCTTTGTGATTTGCTGTCTTTCCCCTTCCTCTGAGACCAGAAGGTACACAGATAATTGAAGCTCAGCTTCAACCTCAATTTGGTTAATCACAGTGTTTTTCTCAATTAGGATAGGTCCTTGCTCAGAACGTTTCAATTGCAGCTGCTGAGAGAACACAGTTATGGGCCTGAAGGGAAATGAACTGGCAGCATTTCTTTCTTAGAACCGTGTCTCAGGGACCACAATCCACATGCACAGAATCACTCCAAGACTCAGCTGCTGAGTGTCTGTTTCTCCTTCACTACTAGTGAGTGCTCAAGACTCAGGTGAATAGTGGGAAGAGGTAGGATTTTCTTCATTGTGTCTGTGATTCTCTCATAATTTTATTTTTACTTCTCACTGAATTAGTAAGAATTTCCAGGTAAAATATAAATGTTATTAATATTATGAACACACAAATTTACATACTCATGTAATGAAATTTGTGATTTTATAGTATCATATTTGAATTGAAACTTTACTAGACTATTTTTGATTACAATAAATTAGCATGACAAAGTGTTTTATGTACTTATGAAGAATTCTATCTTTCAACACACAACAAGTGGAACTAATTTAGAATAATTTAATCATATATCTTTTTTAAAGTTTAGAGATACTTCAATATATTTTAATACGTTAGCACTATTTAAATAATGATGTCATAACATAAAATATCTTCAACATTTCACAATACCAATAATTTAGCAGATGACTATAAAAAACATTATGTCTTATTGGATTACAGTAATTGCTACTAGAAGGATTTTTTTCTTGATAACACAAACTATCTGGCACCATCATTTTTTTGTTATATATTTAAACTCAATAGTGTGAGTGACCAACTTACATGAATAGAGCCTGGTAATATCCAATACAATTTCAAATATTTCTTTAAATTTAGTTTGATATTTAGATTTTCTAAATGATCTAAAACATATAAGATGTGTATATTCACTTGTATAAGATTGTTTCGTTAGGAGAGAAGAATAATTTGGGAAGTGAATAATTTAGCATTCTCTTACTAGAAAATCTTCTGAATTTAGTGTCTCTTTTTATTCTTCTGAAAAGTTTAAATTGCAGTTAGCCCTATTAGACATATAGTCACAAAAAGTGACAAGTAATTTTTAACTCAATTGTTGAAATTCACAAGTTAACTTTTCTGTATTTAATAAGGTTAGTGTCTTTTAGTGTCTATGTATCTTTAAAATGAAAGACAGAGAGAATGAAACCAAGACACTGTTGCAAACAGAAGAAACAAAAGGACAATGACGGAAATTGTCCATTTTTTACTCACAAGGGCATGAAAGCCTTAAGAAATTTGATCAGTAGCAAACTTTTCTATATCTGTACCATAAGAGAATTTTAAGTTTTTCTTAAATGTGTTCGTGTTAGAAGCCCTGTGCTCATGTAGAAGAGGGAAGATGTCTGAAAAGATGAGTCTTAATCAATCCTAATTGTTCCTGATCAGGGTACCTGAGCAGAAAGGCATGCCCTCCATTTCCTTCTTAATACAATATTTGACACAGTTAATATGAGTATAATTTTTCTGTTACTCTGATACACAGGGATATGATGGTAAAATACCTTGAAAGCATTTAGGAAAAAAAGTCCTATATTTTGCTCAAAATTTTAGAGTTTGGTAATCAGAAACAAATGCACTGGCACATATAATTTTACGATTTCCAAGAAGTTAAAGTTCAGAATTAGTGATCATGCCCTGCCAGGGTGGTTTTGTTTGTTTGTTTGTTTCCTACCTCTGCAGTGACACTTTCTTTTCCCATGTTTTTTTTCTCAGATGAGGTGAAAATAAAATGTCTTGAGATCGTGAATATCTGCATTTAGTGAGCACTGTGCTACCATCTGCACTCTTGCTAAGTTAAATTACAATAGAATAGTAGATGCATTCCAGTTTCATTTCTCAGTGGTATCTGGAACTTGCCAAAATTATTCTTCTGTCATTTGTACGTTACACAAATGATTTTATAAAATTGTTTTAGCTGGAAAAGGTGACTCCCTTTTCTGATGTTGCCAGCTGTGTTTGTCAGTTTACCAACTATTGCCAGTGAATAAAAAGACCTACTGCCCTGCCAACTAGGTCATGTGCAATTCTCATAATCACTTTATTCTTTATAATCATAGTTGATGGCTGGTAATATGTTCTAGGACACTGTTCATAGAATATGGTGAAATTGATGAGAATATGACGTTTTTGATTATTAAACTAGTAAAAATAAAACAAGGTGTTATTTATTTTCTGATATGGATTTTTATGCATAAATGTATGTCAGGAAGAATGTAAAAAAACTATTAAAACATATAAAAAATACAATTCTAAATAGTAAATATTATTATAATGATGAAAAAATCAATTTAATAAAACTTTATCTTGTCCAAAATAGCATATTCTGTAATGCAAAATAGTGATAGGTTTGTGAATAACTTCTTTCTCTCATGACAATCTTTTTTTCTGATGTCTGATCAAGCCCATTGACTTTATAATCAACCTTTGGTTACTGGTCCATTGAAAGGATGGATGTTTTCCCTAACATCCATGATTGTGCATATCCTTTGGGGCTTACAGTATTAAGAATATCCTGAGATGAAAGTGAGAATAATGAAGATGAACTTTATCTGTATTATCTGTCTTCTGAGAGTGCTCAGGGGCTTCACCCTTAACCCAAAGGCAAGCTGGTTGCCAGATCTCATAGTGAGTGCTGAGATTTGCGTTTGGATTTCTGAGTGTGTACTGTATCAAACAGGACTCAATTCTTACACTCAGATCAACCTATATGACCTCATAGATCGTTTTCTTCTATTTAATTTCTCTCAGTGGTATCCCATGTTTTCAGGTCTCATGATTATTTTATGTTGGAATTGCCAGACTCAGCAAATAAAAATACAGAGCATACAGTTAAGTTTAATATTCAGAAAGAAAACAAATAACTTTTTAATATAACTATAAAATATTTGAACATTTGCATGTAGCATTTCTATGCATAACTATTATTATATATCACATATATATATACTCACTATTTTTACCTATGTGAAATTCATATTTAATACTCTTGTACTTTACCTGTTGATCTCAATCCACAAGAACCATAGCCCTCCTCAGTGTCCAGGCTCAGCACCAATGACCTAGAGTCCCATTGGGTAGAAGGTCACATAATAGTGTGAGTCATTTACAGAGTGGGGGCATGAATGAAAAATGGTGAGATGGATGTCTTTGGGGTAAAAAGAGAACATATTAAAATTATTAGTTATGTTACTTTTTCTATTACATTTATTCTCTCTCTTTGTTAGATAACCTGCAATACCTGAAGAATAATAATAAAAGGATTCTGGTACATAGTTATGAAATAATTCCATGTATGTTAGTGATTCATACCCAAATTTTGCTTAACTTGTACTGGATTGTGAACCTTATAATGTGAAGATCATTAAGACTTTCTGTCGATATTCTTCTGGTGTTTCTCCTGAGTGCAATATGGCAACAGATTCCAACTGAGCTGAGGGTACAAATGTATATTGTTGAGAACTATCAATTGGTCGGATCTGTAAGTCGAAATAAATATGTCCCTTTAATAGATTAAGTGCTTGGATAAAAAGTAAAAATTATTTGCTGCAGTTTTTTTTTTATAAACTCATATGCACCAAGTGGTCTTAGAGCAATGTCTACCTCAGCCATTATTTTCTGAGTATGAGCCAAAAACACAAACTATCACATAATTTGCATTGCCTTACATATTTACACTTAGGGACTAGTGTAGTTTTAAGTGACTTTGAAAACAATTGAACACTTTTACATCTCAGAAGAAAAATAGAGTGCCTATGGATTTTGTTTCAGTATTAAACAGCTGAATTGTTCTATGCCAGTATTGAATTGATTTAATAAAATCATAATGCCAGCATCCAGAGCAAATAACACGAGAACAATTTTTAAATTATTCAGTAAAGTTTCAGAAAATTACTTTGATAGAGATCTTTCAATTAACATATGAAGAAAATTGCCTTTATTATTGAAAAGCAACGTGTTTTTGAAGGCATGGGAGGGTATTCCTGTATTAAGTGAAGGCTCAAGTAAAAGATCTTCACATAAGCATTTTAATGTGAAATTATGGATGCCATAAACTTTAGAAATGTTTTGTTCGTTCTCTTGAAAATTGGAAGCAGGGTTTTTGTAATTCCTTTCTGAGATGATGAGGGTTTAGATAAGGAGTACCATGTTAAAACTAAGCTTCAAGAGAACCAGGACCATTTTGAAAAGACACAGTTAGTACAGCAATGTTCACATCCTAAACCCCAGATCCTGTGAATATCTTAGCTAATAAGACAAAGGAAAATTAAGTACAGATGGTGTCAAGGTTAATAAGCATCTGACTTCATGATAGATTATCTTCATCATTAGCAGAAGCCCTATGCAATTAGAAGGGTATTTAAATATGAAAGAGGGAGGCAATAAGAAAAGCATTAGAGTGATGGGATATTGGATCGATTCAATGCAACTTTTTTCAAAAAACTTTTTGGTGATTCTTTTTCCATTAGCATAAAGTTTACGTCAGTTCAGTGGTAAAAGCATCCATGATTTATTTTATATGCATGTTATTATGGGTGGTTAAAATTAAACAAAAAATACAGAAAGTAAAGAAATGCTTTTTGAGGAGTGAGCCACAGGTACTATATGAGTATAGATAATGTGCACCGTATATAGGTGTGATTGTGGATGTGTGGATGTTTGAGATATGTACAATTTATTTGTTGTAAAATAAAATGCTCAGGTACATTTTAAATAATTTATATGAGATAGTTGGGGTTAATCAAGATAAACGGGTAAAATTAAAATGATAAGGTTAGTAATAATTTTGACTATACAATAACTCACATTGATGATAAGAGGTCTATTTTCTTTCCCAGATATATAAAATATAATTCCTCTTCATCATTAAGATGACCATGTTCCAGTTAAGGTACTACTAACAATTGCCCTTCTTTTTCAAGCTGGTATTGGACTCACAGCCAACAACTTCCTCCTATTCTTCCAAATCTTCTCCCTCCTTCAGGATCAGAGGCCTAAGCCCACTGACCTCATCACCTGTCACCTGGCCCTTGTCCACTTAGTGATGCTCCTCACTGTGAGCTTCTTGGCATCTCCAGACCTGTTTGAGTCACTGTATTTTCAGAGTAACTACAGTGACTTCAAATGGAAGGCATTCTTCTACATGCACAGGGTGATGGGGAGCCTCTCCATCTCCACCACCTGCCTCCTGAGCATGCGCCATGCCGTCGCCGTCAGCCCTGGCACCTCCTCATCTGCAAAGAGTGAACAGAAGTTCACAGGTTACATCTTTCACTCCTTCTTCTTCCTATGGGTTCTCAGTTTGTCTCTCAGTAGTAACCTGCTCCCCTCCACTGTGGCTTCTTCTTTTTTTTTTTTTTTTT